TTTACGCGCGACGCTTGCACGACGCACGACCTCCATCATCATTTTTTTGCTTTTGTTAATCGTTAGAATCGCCATAATGTTATACAGTAATAACCATTAATCATAATTAATATTCGTATGTAAGTTGGTATTTCCTTCCTTCATTCCTCTCGTATGACCTTAAATTACTAAGGATCCATACGTTTATCGTCTAATATTTATCAATTATTTATATATAATATATATATATTTATATATTTATATATTCTAAACTTAGTTCGCTTAATTATTTAGCAATTAATAATATTAATTTAATTCATTATTATTATTATATTATTCTTTATTAATGTCGGAGAACGGGCATTTAATACGCAGTTTCGGCCACATCTAGCTTTACGCAGCTTCTGCCCTTTCGCGTTTCCCTTTACTTTCTGCATTTATAACCGCTTCCTCTACCATTGTCGCTTCCCCCGTAAAAACATTCTGGACGTGTATCGCGATTTACAAATTTTCCTCTTTCCTTCACATTTCTCTCGCACCTATCATTCTCGTGTTCCCCCGTACTCTTCCATCTTCCTCCTCTTCCTCTTCCTCTTCCTCTTTCTCGTCCTCTTCCTCATTCTTTTTTTTTTTTTTTTATTTTTCTTATTTTTCCCAAACGTCTTCGACTTTGGTTTTCTTCCCCCTTTTTCTCTACCGCTCGAAAATCACGGTTATTTTCTCTCGATCGTCTCTCCCCGCTGTTGGAAACCATTATCCTCCTACCTAAATCGCGATTCCCCCGTTTATTGCTCGTGATGGTACACGTCCTCTTCCGTCCAGAGATCGTTCAACGTGGTAAGTGTTTCCAAGGCATTTACATCGCTCATTGTACCGTCAGTCGACCGTGCTGCGCTCTGCCCTCTCGTCCATCCTGACGGAAAAAGAAAATCATGCTTTTGTTAGCCAGAAATTGCGACACGTGAACGACGAATATACGCGACGCGCTTATTCGTCGAGTCGAAGCCGTGGTATCTTTTTTTCTTCGTTCTTTTCTTTTTTTTTTTTTTTTTTGTGAAATCGGCGCAAGCAGATTGTGTTATTGTTGGAGTGCTTAACGGTAAATTATTGTAAGTCAATGTTGTTAGATTCTTTCGTGATCCGCGAAGAATTTCCGATATCTTACGGATTGCATTTGGAATACTTTTCTTTCTTTTTCAAACCTTTTCGGATTTCGCGACGTACGAATTGTAGACGATAATTTATCACGAAAGCATCTCGAATAGTTAACGCTCGACTCGTTTTATTAATCGCTATGGTTAAAAAAGGAAGTAATAGTTATTTCACCAGGCACACACTAAATTCAGGCTTGCAAACGAACAATTATTGGAAAGTATGTCTGAAACGTGGTGTCATTGTTATATTCACTTCTGGTGAACGTGTTTGCGTTTTGCTACAAGAAGGATGAAAGTATATCGTTACCGTACTCGTTAGACAATGCGCTAAATTCGAAAAAAAAACAACAACAGGGGACATTATAATCTTTCGATTGGCTGTTAATTGCAGTAACGTTTCGGCGATGAAAAGCGATGGAAATGCAATATAATTACACACTATTTGCTCGATAATTGTATGGATACTTTTGCGAGAAGTTTGCACAATTTGTAAAAGAAGTACCATTTGGAGTTTTTACATATTAGTTTCGTCGAATTTCATAAAGTTCTCCTTCGCACCGGAGAGAACTCGAAATGCTTGAAAAGAGAATGATTTGAAAGCGTGTATTAGTGAACGTGACTTACGTACCTGTTATTAGCTCTTAACAAGGCTCAATGGTAGCCATTAGTGAACGCCGCTGGTATTAGAGGACCCTAAAATGCGAAGACAAAAGTTTCATCGGGATTCACGTGCGATTCAATCTAATCTACTCAATTTTTTATGCTTATCTACGATGTTTTTGCAAGAACCCTTAGGATAATTGATCTTAACAAAAAATTCGTATTTAAGTTGGATTAAAACGTTTCTTTTCCTAAGTATCGGGAGAATGGAAAATTGGATAGTACTGGAATTAGATTATAAAAAGTAATATTGGCAAACCGAGAAGCTCAGCGTTCAGGGCTATTTTGCAATCAGAAGCTGTAGCAACGTAAGTTACAAACTCTAATGAAAAAAGAAAAAGAGAGAGAACTTGCATTATACTCTCGAATCGCTCGACTTTTCTTCCCTCTTTTTTTTTTTTTTATCTTGTTCGAATATCTTTCTAAAGTACATTGAACGGTTGGAAGAAGTATCACAGACACAAGTTTAATAATTCGATGCTGTTAGTACGGTTAGCTGTTGGAAAAGTAGTTCGTTCAATCCGACTTACTCGACGAAAAGTTTAATTAAAATCTATTCACTCTGATCTAACGTGGAAATAAAAGAAAGCGTTAAACGAATATAAATTAAATCGAGGCCTCCAGAGGCCAGAGTGCGATGGTAGTTTTTAATTCCGTTTTAAGTGTCTGAAATTCCTTTTGTTAGCCTCGACAGCTTGAAACAGCAGGATGTTGCTCCAAGAAATAGATGTACAGTGACAAATATTGCTATGAATTGACAAACTGTTACAAATTTTTTTTTTAACTGAAATTTAACTATCAACTTTTATTTGAAAATAAGTAGAAAGAAAATTTTTACGTTGTAAGCAGTCTTTATATCTTCAAAAGAATCTATGTTAAAGAAAGAATGCTTCAATTCTGTGTACTAATCACAATGCTATTAATCAAACACACGAAAATACTGTATTTACAGAGAAACTGTGATTCCAAGTAGTACGAGTCAATCATTTACGACTTTACACTCTAATATGCTAATTTAGATGTCTGAAACACTTCAATAATGACTGAAATGTTTGAAATTACTCAATTTATCTCTAACATTAGTTAGAAATTACCCTTGAAAATATTTTACCCTGTCAGAAAAATTAAAATCAAAATTCTGCACTCTCTTATGGCGGACCTGTACTACTTGGCATCAGAAACTTTTCACAGTTCCATTACGAATATGATTGCGGATATAATCCATCGTGGACAAGCCCGTGGACAATCTTAACAAGGGAACTTCGGTATTTTTTGTATCCGAAAAATTTCGATTTTCTGGAAACTTTGCAGGTTTATAGGAAACCTCGACGAAGTATCATTTCTTTCGAATTCGATTTGTTTTCAATTCTCTGTTTTTTAGTCTTTCAGGGTGAAAGTATCTCTTATCGGTTAAAATTATGTAAACGCTGTATTGCCGGATACCTGTACTTATAATGAAATTTTGAAAATTTCTTTAACTGACAAGAACACTAAATTTTTTGAAGTAAAAGTGATTGGGGATGCTTTTTTTTAATTTCAACACTAACAATTTCATTGCACAGTTTTATAGATGATAAAAATTCGCTATTGCATTCTGACAATTTTTTATATCTGCCAAATTTTCATTTCAACAATTTTTATATTTACTAAATTTTGCCAGATATACAGAAAAATAGAAGAACACGCGATGTGTGTCGCACATTAACATTTAAGGAGAGATTTTAACCTCAATAATCAAAAGCAGCGGACAAAAAGGACTAATTATTATTGAGGCTTTCGTGTGTAAGCCATGCCTTATGGAAAAAGTATCCCAACGTTTCGTAAGCATTCTTACGTTAAACACACTGATAATAAGAAAAATTGAGTGATACTTTTATCGACGTTTCCCATAAACACAAAATTTCAAACAAAAAGAACTGATTACTATTGAGGCTTTCTTGTCTAAGCCATGCCTTATGGAAAAAGTATTCCAACGTTTCGTAAGCATTGCTCACGTGAAACACACTGACGATAAAAAAAAAATTGACCACGAACTCACAAAATTTCCCCAAAAAATCAGAATTTCCAGATTACCGAAATTCCCTGGTAAATCCTTCGTGGCGAAGGGGGATCGTAGAGTGGACTTACGGGACTGTAGTTGAGCGGGGCACGGGACACGGCGATCGCAGGGAACGCGGTCGTAGGGGGCTGCGGACTAGCTGCGGCCTGGACGTAGCTGGCGACTGCTGAGTCCGCGGCTGCGGCTGCTGCTGCGGCTGCGGCGCTTGAACTCGTGAGGCGACGCCGGCGGAAATCCGGCCTGCGCTGCGGCCGCCTGGTAGTTGTTCATCACTGCAACGAACGCGCCGTCATTTTTAACATTCCTCCGTACGTTGTCTACGGCCTCGACTGGCCAGCCAATTAGGCTCGTTTACTCCTGCGGCCTTGTTTCGTCGCGAACAAACTGCTTCGCGAGCAGAAATACACGCCTGAGTTTCTTCAGGACGTCTGATTTTGAATGCAGATCGTGTGAATGAGTTGAGAAATTGAGTTTCGATTTTGCCGAATTATTTATTTTCTGTGTTTCTGAAGGAGAAGTACCGAAGTCGCATAGTTCGATGGCTGATTCGATGAAAGTGTGTGTAGGATCGTTTTTTTTCTTTTTTTTTCGGGTAGATTATAGCGAAAATGGCGATTTCTGTGTTTCTCGCAATTCCTATCTGTCTGATTTTTCTTGAACGCAGATCGTGTGAATGAATCGCGAAATTAGTTGAGTTTGGACTTTGTCAACCTCCTTTTCTTCGCGATTCTGTGTTTTTTCGGGAGAAAAATGATCGGAGTACTTCCATGGCTGATTTGGGAAAAATTCCTTAAAGTGTACAGAATACTTCTTTTTTGTACAGATTGTGGGGATAATCGTGATTTTTATCTAAACTTCTTCTTTCTTTCAAAAATTGAGTTTGAACTTTGCCGACCTGCTCTGTATTTTCACAGCAGAAAAACGATCGGAGTCGCATGGTTCCGTAGCTGATTCGAAGAAACCTCGCGATAAAGTGTGTATAAGAGAATTATTTTCCTTTCGAATAGATTATAACGAAAATTGTGATGTGATTCACGTTTGCACGGTAGCGTGGGTAGTTGATTATTAAAATTCATTACACCGTGTAATATGTTTGAACAGCAGTTAATTACAGAACGTTACGAAAAATGGCACACATTAGTACACTTATGCTGCGTAAATGTAGTTTTCACACACACAGAAAATACATGGCAAATGAAAATTGGAAAAACGCTAATAAGCAGGAAAGATTAGAATTTCATAAAACATGTATACGTACGTACATTTAATTCACTCTTGTTTTGCATTGTTACTTGCTCACTGACATAATTATTTCGGCCAACTAACCACAAAAATGACTAGTTTTTATTAATGATAATTAGCCATCGAACGAGGCGAACAATTCGTGAATTGAAAATACGAAATTTCCGATTATATCGTAATAATCCAGAAACTTACGAGAACCTCTTACGTTACATTTGAAGAATTCAACAGCATGTTGAACACGTTCATCGTCTTTTTCCTAATCATTCACATAATAACTAGCTGAATTAATTCTGTCTCAACAGCAACACTACGCTCTCCAAAAACTGGTCACAGTAACAATTACAATATCTCTGTATCATTACTTATGTCTGTACTAATAAGAAACTTACACGAAAGCTAACCACTGCAACATCGCTAATTAAAACACGCTTTACAATATCAGCAATGAACTCGCACAAAATCACGATACAACTAGCATTCCTGTGTACATGTGTATATCCCGCAGCGCAAGAAACATCTCAATTAGCAAGCGACACGTCGTCCGTGTCGTGTAAAGTTGTATCCTTTACAAAAGAAGAGGAAGAAAAGGAAAAAAGTGTGTGAAATAGAAATGCAACTTAGAACGTTCGACGTTTGTCTACACGTTTCGATTCGTTTCCGTTCCATCAATGAACGGGGACGAATTGGTAATGCACATCGATAAAACACGCGAGCACACACGCGCTTAGAGAAAGAAAATGACGGTATAGGTATAAGAGAAATAGAGTGGTATAAGAGAAACGTCGGCGCCTTCGTCGGAGACAAATAATCGGTGACACACGTAAAACGTGGAAGAAGGAAATAAAAGGAGACACTCAGTAAGCGGATTACAAGACAGCTTTGCGCGTAATGGAACAACAGAAAACCGCGAGAGCACGGATACGATATAGTGGAAACACGTCGGGCCAGGACAAGCAACGCAATCGCACGAGACAGTAACGGCTAACAGCAGCACAAAGAAGTATCGTCGAGCACGTGCTTTTTAGCTGTAAAGTGACTCCGCTGTTCATAACGCGGCGCATTTTCTTCTCGAGAGGAAACGATTTCGCTACTCCGGCTTGTTCGCCGTTTCGTTGCGTCGCATCTCGCGTGCTAAATCTCTCTCGCTCTCTGGCGTTGGTGTTAAGTTCGGTTTACGATAAAAACAGAGCTCGCATGTTACACGAAACGAAACGGAAAGAGACGGTGGCAGAAGAGAGATGAGGATATTAAAAATAAAGAGAGAAGAAAATAGGGTGAAAAAGAGGTGTAACGAAATTTGCATTTTTCGCGAGAAAAAAAGGATAGGGTGAAACGAAGAAACTAAAAATAGAGAGAGAAGAAAGGAGGGTGAAAAAGAAGAAGTAACAAAATTTGCATTTTCGACAAGAGAAAGAAGGTAGAATGAAATGAAACGGTGGCAGAAGAGAGATGAAGAAACTAAAAATAAAGAGAGAAGAAAAGAGGGTGAAAAGAAGAAGTAACGAAATTTGTATTTTTCGCAAGAAAAAGAAGATGGAATGAAACGAAACGGTAACAGAAGAGAGATGAAGAAATGAAGAAACTAAAAACAGAGAGATAGAGAGAAGAAAAGAGGATGGAAGAGAAGAAGAAACAATATTTGCATTATCGACAAGGAAAAGAAGAGAGTGAAGCGAAATGGTAACAGAAGAGAGACGAAGAAATAAAGAAACTAAAAACAGAGAGAGAAGAAAAGAGGGTGAAGAGAAAAGAAGAAACAAAATTTGCATTTTCCACAAGAAACGGAAAATAGAGAAAAACGAAACGGTAACAGAAGAGAGATGAAGAAACTAAAAACAGAGAGAGAGAGAGAAAGAAGAAAAGAGGATGGAAGAGAAGAAGAAACAATATTTGCATTATCGACAAGGAAAAGAAGAGAGTGAAGCGAAATGGTAACAGAAGAGAGACGAAGAAATAAAGAAACTAAAAACAGAGAGAGAAGAAAAGAGGGTGAAGAGAAAAGAAGAAACAAAATTTGCATTTTCCACAAGAAATGGAAAATAGAGAGAAACGAAACGGTAACAGAAGAGAGATGCGGGAACTAAAAACAGATAGAGAAGAGAAAAGGAGAAAAAAGAGAAGTAACAAAATTTACGGGCGTATTCCGCAAGAAAAAGAAGATAGAAGAATAAAGAGAACACGAAAATCGAGCAAACCAACGATCGATCCATGTAATAATAGCCACTGGTAAGGCAAAACGAGACTGATACACAGCGACACCAATGCACAATGAATCTGAATAACACTTAATTGGCCAGAGGTACAGGGGGCAACGATCCACTCTCGTGTCTCTCGAAATAACGAGGAGAAATGAAAGAAAACCACGGTATGTTCGATCTCGAGTACTTCACGGGTCATCCATCAATGATACGTGTTCCTATTCCTATTAGCGGCTACCATGCTTGACAGACTAAAATATACTGGGGAATTGTACGCTTTGTCGGGATTCAGCGGGGAGGCATGGAATAAATTACCAATTTGTCATCCACGCTTCTACACGAAAGCTGCGTTTTAGCTTCGAATCTCGCACACTAGTCTGCTGGGCGAAACGAGGGAAGAGATTAATGCAGGGGATTCGAAGATGAGTCGCACACGTGTCCTTTCTCAAATGCATGGTATATGTATAGTCGATAGAAGAAATATAGGGAAGTCGTAAAATCGGTCGGGCGTCGAACTTTACATTTTTAAGAATATCGATAGGGGAATCGACAGAAACCTGAGATGACAAGGGCTAGAAATTTTAGTTAGGGTATGAAGTATGCTTTAGCTTTGATTTTTTTCTAATTGAAAAAAGAAGAATGCTGCGTTTGAACCTGAGTGTTACTGCATCAATCAGTTTCTGTGTATCTATTCTTACTGTAGTCGGTCAAATGACTGGTTATGAAATAAAGATCATATTTGACTGTCAATGTGATTGTCAATTTAATGTAGAAAAAAGTGCAAAAAATTATTGCGGGTGAGGTACGGTTAGTGTTAATGTTTTAATTTACGACTTCACTATGTCGCTTCCACGGACTATACCAATTTTCCTACTGTTTCGCCGGTTGGATATCTTTCCAGCTCTGCAGAGTATAGTCGGTGGAAGAAATATAGCGTCACGTGTGGCGTTTTTCGTTTTTCGATTGCGAATCGAAATAATTTCGATTTTGAGGCATACTTTATGCAGTCCTGACTGAGGTTTCGGGTCTTTATTTTCGCAGACTTCTCTCGATTCACTTTTCGAAACTTTGACGCCTGGCAGATTTTTTAGTTTATAATTTAGAACAATATTTCCAAAGAACCTTTAAAAGAACGTAAGATCCGTCTCATTCATAAAACCATCATACCGTCGCTACAGTATTTCCTTCGATATTCATTAAAATAAAATATTAAAATATAGCCTTGGATTTCATTAAAATATACAAAAATATTTTCGTTCACTATACATTAAGATATGTCATTAAAATATTCACTTTCGGTACGAACATATGTGACGACCTCCTATATTTCTTCCATCGACTATACACATTTTACCGTGCGCTCTATTCTCGATAAAACTCTCCTCCATAATTACCCCTAAAAGAAATTTTCCAACACGAATCAACATCCATATGCAAATTGCGCATAAACAACCCTTATGTGAAGAACAAAAAAAAGGAAAAATAGCACAAGCCTGCAGGCGATTAGGAAGATCACAGAACTTATCTACAAAACCAGCGAGAAAAGTGGTAGTAAATCGAAGACGAAGATGATGGGAAGATTGCCGGCGTAGAGACGCTAGAGGAACGCGAAGAATTCGAAACTCGCCGGAGAAGAAATGGGAGGGCATGGGGGGGAGTATGACAAACCGAAAGCGCTCGATGTACAATCTAAAACCCCATTCAGCTTTTAAACTCTTGACAATGGCGGCCGGTTACAAAGTTTTCTGCCGGTGGCCGGGTTCGTCGATGTGAAGAGTGGGCGGAAAAGGGGGCTGGGTCGAGCGCGATTCAAAAGTTTGATTTATTTGAGAGGAGATTGCGGACGGCACAGGGGCGGAGCAGGCGGATCAGGCTAGATTCTATGACCAGCAAGAGAGAGAGAAAGTGTGTGTGTGTGTGTGTGTGTAAGGGAGAGAGACAGAAAAAGAGCGAATAAAAAAATAAAAGGGTTGGAGTCGGTGTATTTCGCTGGCGGCATCTCGCCGCCCTACATGTGTGACACTTTTCAGAATTCCCTGCCGCCTTTTCTTCCCCGCTGTCTGGATTGCTTCACCGTCGTTTCTCCTCTCTCTCAGCCTCCGCGTCTCTCGCGAGCTTAGAAGAAACTCCCCTTTTCACGGCGTGTGTCGTGAAAAGCGCTCTGAACCGCGGCCATTTTCGAGAAATTAGCGCGGATTCTTGGGAGAAAGAATTCTCCGCGGGAATTGCTGCGGGATTTTTCTTTGCCCGCGCTTACTGAAAGAAGGATTTCTCTCGTGGACGTTGTAACCGTGATTTATTTTAATTAGAATTTCGAACGGTTTACGGTTCGTTGGCGGGAATCGTTGATTGCGCGACGTTCTTTCGGGACTTTCATCGGAGCATCGGAAAAATTGTGATTATCTTGTTGCTCGGCTAAGCATGTAATTGAATTTTGCGGATAATGAGACGGAAAATTTTCGCGAGTAACGTTTTCGTGATTCTATATTTTAGAGGAAAGTTTTGTTGCGACATTTTGTAATGCAGGTTTATCGAAATTTCGCGGTACAAGAAGGTTTCAGGTCTAAAGTAGAAGTCGTTTAATTATTTTCTCTAGTTACAGTGGTGCGAGACAATTTTTACACGTACTCTAAATGGTTTCAAACGGTGAATAAGATGGAAGAAAATTTTTGTTTATAAATAATCATTTCTTCTGTTTCTTTTTTTTTCAACATCACCAATGTATCTATTCTTTTCTACTGTACGTCATATCAGACATTGGTGTGCATTTAAACATGCATAATAATACAACTTCAAAATATCTTGGACTCAAAAATTTCCAATCAAAATCCTTTCATTTTCGCCATCTCTTCCATCGAAGAAATTTAAATTACGTGTAAAAATTTTCCGGTACCACCATAGCTAGAGAAGATAATTAGGTGACTTGCTTCACGCCACCGACCCTCAGTGCAGAAGCAGCTCAATGCTCGCACAGTGGCGACAACTTTGTAACGCACAACTTTTCCAAAGAACCATCTGAAAATTTCGAGAATGATACACCAAAAAAGTTAGAAATCTCGAAAGAACCGTAGCACACGATTTCGAGGAACAGGAAGAACACAGTTATGTATAACAGTTATTCTCCAACGAAACGAAGAAATCAACCCCGTCGAGAGGTAAGAAAAGAAGCAAATTGAAACGATTGAACGTTGCTACCAGGGTAGCGATGTAAATACGGGGGCGTTCTGTTTCTTCGAAAAGGAAGAACGATTCGACCAGGGTAATCATATCCACGGTTTAACCTTTGGGAAGTTTCTCGAACAGGGACGAGAGCCACACGGTTCAAGCTTGTTCACCGTTGAAAGTATACGAAGGAGCCGAAGCAGCCTTGCAATTTGCCATTAAGGCGTAATGCAAAGCTTGTTTCTGTTAAAGCTCGAGAATCGAATCACGAAAGAGGATTGAATTACACGAGTTCCAAGTTCCGTTGTAGGCGGCATCGTAATCCCGTCTGGCTATATCGTAACGTCTCGATCTAACAATCACGAAGGCCTCGTGTTAAGAAGCAGAGCTTCTATCGTCGTTATTCTCTCTACTGTCGTTATTGCTTTTCGCTCTATCGCGTGACTCGATAATGAAAAGCTATCAAGAATCGGAAACCGTACGCCGTTCCCCGGAGAATCTATTGGCCGTGCATTCTGATATGGATGTATATGCTATATGTATGTACACTCGGTGAAAAAAGTCCACGTGACCTAACCTGAAAAACGAAGTTTCCGTAACCTAACCTAAAAGAGGAATCTCCTACTTGACCTAACCTTGCCAGAATTTATTTCGCTCATTGTACTGTTTCGATAGAGAATTGGTATTTTATTTGGGAACGTAACGTTTACTATTGGTAGAAAGACAAATTATTTTTAAAATAATTTTCGACGAAGAGTAATGTATGAGAATGAGATGAAAAAAATTTCTAAAAATTTCAGCAAATTTCTAAGAATTTAGCAAAATGTCTTGGGAAATGAGGTCCCAAAGGCAGATACAAGTTAGTTTCTTGTTTACAAACAAGTAGAAAAGTATTTTTCTCATAATAGAAAATATCTGTTTAAAAAAATTTCTTTTCTCTTTAATTATTGACAAATGAATGAAAGCTATGTTTCTTCGTACTGACAGTAAATCTTAAGTTTTCAAATCAAATTTCTCACTTTCTCTGTCAAAATTATACCAGTGCAAAATAAATTCTAATAAGAGTGCGCAGAGAATTTTTTCACGGAGTGTATTTTGTACAACTGCTATAATTATTAACAAATTAATGTAAATTACCTTTCTTCGTACCAATAGTAAGTCTTAAGTTTCCAAATAAAATTGATCACTTTCTCTGTCAAAATTATACAAATGCAAAATAAATTCGAAGGATTGAAGAATTTTTTCACGGAGTGTATTTTGTACAGCTGCTAAAATGATTAACAAACGAATGCAAATGATCTTTCCACCTACCAATACTAAATCTCACGTTTCTAAATAAAACGACGTAAATATCATTCCCTCCCTACTTTCTCCATCAAAATTACACAACGCCGAATAAATCCTAACGAGACTTTTTCCACCGAGTGTACACATAACTGCATATACACGCAGAACACGTATGTAAACATGTACAGTAAACCTCTGAGAACTTGTTCTCACATTTTTTCTCTTTTCTCACAAATGCCAGACAAATTAAGAAAGCGGTAGGTAGGAACGAAGCCGAAAAGAATGGAAAACTTTAGACGTACCAGAAAGAGCTTGCGTGAGCAAGGGCGTGTTGTTGTTGGAGGTGAGCTGCCCGTTGGTAATATCCACTGAAACATAAAACTCTGATCACAACTGCTCCGCACTTCAACGTACATACGCGGATATGTGCGCTTTTCGCTACTTCGTTCTTTCTCGTTTTACTGCCGCTCGGCAATGAGAGCGAGAGAGAGACCGAATAGTAGTGGTAGTGGTGGTATACTGTCTGTGGCTGATTAAAGGAGACAGAGTTAAAAAAAAAAAAACAGAAGAGAAAAAAAAAGAAAAAAACAACAACAAAGAAGAAGAAACAAAAACAGAAGTAGAGAGGCGTCGTGTGACGTCAAAGTGACGGCCGAAAGGAAGAGACAGAGACGTGATTTTTCCATGTGTGTTGCTTTGTCGCTGATCCTCTCTCTGTACGCCGTGCGACGATCGAGCGAGCACGTTTTCCTTCTGCGTCGTGACTCTTTCGCGATCCCCGGATTAAACGTTCTCTCCTTTCGTTCTTTTTTTTTTTTCTTTTTCCTTCTTTTTCTATTCCTTAGCCCCTCTCCAGACCCTTCACGCCTTTTAGCACGGTGGTCCGACTGTGATCGAGAGCCGTCACGTCCACTGTGCTCGCAAAACTCGTCGTTACTCCCTTCAGTTTCTCCGTCTGGATCCGAAAGCGACGAAGATCGCCTCGTGAAGTGCAAAGCACACTGTCGATTTCTCCCGTCTCGAACTAACGAACCCAACTTTCGAAGGAGAACGAAAAAAGTGCGTCACGGGGAGTATCTCTTTTCCCCTTTCGTTTACGATTTACCTGGAAAATACCGGTGGGGTACAGCGGATCGTCGCCGAGTAACCGAATATAAACGGGTCCACATAGACGGCGTCGAGGGCTCGTAAAATATTTGTCGCGTGATAATAGTATACTGCCTGTATGGTTATCGATTGGTGCAACGGGTTACGATAGCGCTCGCCGCGCTATTATATTCCTTGCTCGCTCGCTCGCGGGGACCGATGAAATGTATGAATCGCGGCGGCGATCAATGACGTGGAACAGGGACGTTGTCGGAACGGAATGTGAGACCATCAACGAAACGTTCCATGGTGAAACGATAATGATCGATGCTTCGCGGGAAAGTGAGACGAGAGAGTGGCTGAAAGAACTGTCACTGATACGTCGTGTATGCGCGCGAGAAGAGGAAGAGAGAAATTGGAGTGTACGGAGCACGTTGAGATACGAGGGAAGAAGTGTATCCACACGAGAGAACGAGAAGTGAAGATAGAAAGGGAGAAGAAGGCGTGATGCGTGTGTGTTTCCACGGTCCAAGAAGTGAAACGTCGACTTCGTACATTTCTTCCGGAGAGCAGCCCTTTGGACGTGTTGCATCGGTGCCTCCATGTACGCGCGGCTTGCGTTCTCGCTTCCGGTTCGGTGGTAGTACACTGCCGGCACTCCTGACATTAATAAAGAACAAGAAGAGAGCTGAGAATGTGGGAAGGAAAGACAAAAATAAAACGGGGACGATAGGTGTGCGCGTGGCGGTGAAATTCGCTGGTGAGCTTGCGCGAAGATGAGAAGACGGCGAAGATTGTCGTCGGCTGGATCGAGTTGGATTTTTTAGGGTTGACGACGATGCGGTGTATGTTGAATTTCTAGCTGAACGCGGTTCTTCAGAAATACGAACGATTGGAGAGTCGAATTATCGTTGCACATTATTGGAGCAAAGTATGAAACTTGAGTTGAAATTCAGTTACCAGTTGATGAGGTAATAGAAGAATTTTACAGTGGATGAAGGATTGTTAAGCTTGAATGTGCTAGAATAGAATCGAACGTATTTGGAAGTTTCAGCTGTACGAGGAACTTTAAGGTGGCTAAGAATTCTAATTACTCGAACGCAGTGTTTGCTATTAGCAGTTATTTACCATTGCAAAACAATTACTAAACGATATACCTAAGAAACTAGAATTTACTTGTATCTTAAGAAATAATCTCTAGCCTGGAAGTTCCATACTTCAAACCAATACTGTTGAGACCGTTTCATCTACGTTCTCAGCAATGCGTTTTAAGCATTTACAAAATTTACCTTCTGAACTAAAGAAATCGTCAAAAATGAAAAATAAAAAGAAATCCTTTAACTACGTAATCAAAGTAACAAAATGAAAAGAACCGCGTGTCAACCAATGCTCGACAGAAATATTCACCGATCCCGCGTTAATTACGTGTTCGATAGCGTCGAATTAATTTCGCGAAAAACGCGGAGAGAAAATAAGAGAACAGAGAGACAGAGAGGGGACAGAAGGTGAAAAAAAGGGGGGAATTTTCATCGCAAGAACGGTTGGCAGAGAAGCCGGAGATCCTTTAAAACCGGTCGAACAAACACCGGCGCGTTTTGTGCACCCGATGAATGCGGACGTTCTGACGTCCAAGTAAAATGGCTCTCCGCCATATTTTTTTCTATTTTTCTCCACGGGCTGGCTTTTTCGCGAAATAAACACGACGCCTACGCGCGCGTATTACGACTGCCCTGGCATTTACCGTTCGGAATCAAAGAAGGGAGAGAGAGAGAGAGAGAAAAAAGAAGAGAAAATATCGCGGCACAAAGGGCCACGGTTAAACGGTTTAAAGTCGGCCGCCGACGCGCAAAGGTGGACCCTCCGCGATACGTAACGCTCGGTAAGAGCGGCGTGAAAAGCGGAGAGAATGGACGGGACGCGGATAGAAAAGACGTACGAACGAAAAATAGAGGGATGCAGAGGCGAACAGGGCTGGGGTGAAACGGTGGCCACCGTTTGGATTTATGTGTGACGCGCGTGGGGTCGGTTGATTCGAAATTTGCGTGAATTTCAACGGGATACCGTGAGGGGGTGAATCGTCGTCATCGATACTGGGGTAAACAGGATGGAAAATAAATCAGGATGGTAGCGGGGCGGTTCAGACAAGTGGGCTGGCTCGTTGCCTCGAAATAGGCGGAGATGGAAGAAAATGATATTTGAACTGTCGATGGGATATATTTATGCGCATATGAGCTCTGGCGATCTTTCTCCTTTTTTAAATTGAATTTTATACACTTGCGACCGGGGCTTTTCGCGTTCGGGATGTGTACGTGTTCGAATTTGGGAATTAGTAATTTGTAGATATAGAAAATTTCATGCGTTGCATGTGAAAGTATGAATATGTTTGATTTTAGAAATTAGTAATTCGTGAGAAATAAAAAATTTCATGTGTGTAAAAGTATTAACACGTTTGATTTTGGAAATTCGTAACATTGTGAGAAATAAAAAATTTCATGTGTGTAAAAGTATTAACACGTTTGATTTTGGAAATTAGTAATTCGTGAGAAATAAAAAATTTTATGTGTGTAAAAGTATTAACACATTTGATTTTGGAAATTCGTAACATTGTGAGAAATCAAAAATTTTATCAGTGGTAGTACAGGTTAAAAACAAATTTCCAATGGATTTTCAATATGCATTTTAAATTAATTTCTTTTTTAATGCATATCTGTAAAGATCGAGAATCGCATCCAGAAATATAGAATTTTTAGAAATTTAGAAATATGAATTATGTATTTTAAATTAATAATTTCTTTTCTAATAGATATCTGTAAAGATTGAGAATCGCATCCAGAAATATAGAATTTTTAGAAATTTAGAATTATGAATTATGTATTTCAAATTAATAATTTCTTTTCTAATAGATATCTGCAAAGATTGAGAATTGCATCCAGAAATATAGAATTTTCAGAAATTTAGAATTACCAATTTTGAGAATTAAGTTTTGTTCGTATCCTTGCATAAAAATTAAAAATCTATGCAAACGTGTAAAATTCAATTTGAGAAGGAAAATATTACAACAGCTCGTATGCGCATAAATTTGAAATTTCCTCCTATCTCTGGTAGTTTCAAAGCAACGGTCCATCTCAATTTCATGAAACATCCCGTACACAGAGGATCATTTAGAGATAAGCGTCGAAAGTACAGAATAAACGTAAGAAAAGATCGATGATAGTAGCTGAAAGTTTCAACGTAACACAAAACATTACGATACGTCGCTAAAGCCGGCTCCGGGTTAATTAGGTTAGTGGCTCCGAGCGCAGATAAATGGTTAGCGAGTCTACGGGAGCTAAATGAAACATTGCGAGCCTCGTGGGGATCGAAGGAGTAGCTGTAAACAGATTTCTAGCGATAATTGAACGAATGGACGACTTGAAAACAAAACTTCCTGGTGAAACTCGGAATCATAAATCACAATGATACACTACAACTTTCCGAAATACTTAAAAAGACGTCAAACTTATTGCGACAATGTGAAAACCACGAATAATGAACGATTATTTGGAAAAAGATTCAGAAATGGAATTGAAATAATATAGAATTTGAAGAAATTTTTGAAAATTCAACAAATTACAAATTCGAAGCGGCAATTTCGATAACTTTGGAATAAAAACTTCCCTGGAATGCTGCAGTAAAAAAAATTCGAAAACATGAAAAAGTGGAATTCTATAACTTTCGAAAACACTTAAAAAGAATTTCAGGAAATTTTTGAAAATTTAACAAATTACAAATTCGACGCGGCAATATTGAAAACCTTGAAATAAAAGTGTCCCTTAGATACAGCGCTATTTAGGCGAAACTCGAAAACATGAAAAAGTGGAATTCTATAACTTTCAAAAACACTTAAAAAGAATTTCAGGAAATTTTTGAAAATTTAACAAATTACAAATTCGACGCGGCAGTATTGACAGCCTTGAAATAAAAGTGTCCTCTAGATACAGCGCTAGATGAAACTCGAAATCACAAAAAAAGTGAAATTCTCCAACTTCCCAAAATACTTGAAAAGCAATGTCAAGAAATCTGCGAACATTTGACAAATCACAAATTCGACGCGACAATAGTCAAACCCTCAAAACAAAAACGTCCTCCGGATGCTGCGCCAGATGAAACCCAAATTCCCCAAAACAACGGAATTCTGCATCTCCCGAAAATGCTTAAAAAGAAATTTCAGGAAATCTAGGAACATTGAACAAATTACAAATTCGACCCAGTAATAGCGAAACTGTCGAAGGGAAGAAAAAAA